TGCAACTATAACATCACAACTCAAGAAGTAGTAAAAGAAAAAAAAACAGAAACAATAAAAGAACATAAAAGAAAATAAATAAATACATTTGGGGAAAACTGAGTTAAATGTTGATATTTAATGGAGTAATTAGAATAAAATGACTGATTACAGAGGCACCAGCATACTTACAGATCAAGTTAGAAAGGACTGATTATATTTAACCAACACATTCTCACTCCGACCTCATCACATATAGACATTTGTTCATGGACTTTCTGCATCAAGATATGACGTACAAGGTGCCCTTGGTGCGTCAGTTGTTGATGTTCTGGGACGCCATGTCAACTTCAGCCTGTTACATGTAACAGCAGCTAAAGTCAGGAGGGAGTGAGATCAAAACAAACTTGTTACATTAGGTAAGATTATTTTTCTTTAGCCATTTGGCTCTTTAGCAGAAACATTTCCTGATTGTTTGTGTTATTGTTCACTGGCGCACAGTAAATATACTCTGTTCTTTCAACACTGGCTTGTGTTGTTAATGTGCTAACTGGCTAACCAATACATTCTCACTCCGACCTCGTCACATATCAGTGATTGGTCATGGACTTTCCAGTTATTGACGTTCTGGGACGCCATGTCAACTTCAGCCTGTTACATGTATTGTCTGTTTTCAAAATACACTTATTTTTTTACAGGAATTGTACAGTATACAGTGCATACAGTCCCTTTTAAAATACATGCACTACATTGGTACAACATCATACTTTTTTTTTAATAAATCTTTTTATTGACACACTGTGACATGACAATCCCAAAACAGATACATTAACAAATAGCCATTTTTTTTTTCCATTTTTTAACCCCAGACCTAAATTGTTCCACTGTGCAAAAGTTGAATCTAGAATAGAGGGGATAAATAGATGGTTATTACTAAAAGGGCCTAAGATAGATACTGAGTGGAGTTTAAAGTGACGGCGGAACTGTATCCAGATCTTTAGAGAGGACAGAACAATGGGATTAGAGGAGAAACGAGATGGTGAATAAGGAAGTGAAGAGTACACTAGAGCTGCCAGAGAGGATGGATGGCATGACTGTGCCTCCAACCTACAGCAGTTAATGTCAGGAGATTTCAACCAAAAAATTAATTTTTGAATGTTGGTAGCCCAATAGTAATACATGAAGTTCGGAAGTGCAAGGCCCCCCGACGCCTTAGGTCCCCCCCCCCCATTCTCATCACACACACACCTGACAGTACATACATTGACCAAACTGACCAGCTCATGTGGCTCGTTCCTACAACTTCCTAAATAAATACCTGATAGCAAAAACATGTAAATACAAGATTTCCAGGTCAAACTCTTTTGCCTCATTTACAATCTGAATCAAATCTGTAGCTAAAACTGTGCTGCAGCAGTACATGATCAAATACATGTAGTCCCGCTCAGTTTCTCCCCTGAAATTAAGTACTAAATATTTGTGTCTGCCTGCTGTTACTTATATCCTCACAGCAGCCAGTACACATCAATCAAGCATTCACTACATCACATGATTTCAAATGAATATGGATGTGTTGTTTGATCATCACACATGTCAAAGTTTCATTTGGTCACATGGCTTATGTCTACAACTTTCAAAATATAAGCTCAAACCACCTTCATAAGAACCCTTTACTTTTTTTAAAATGAACTTGAAAATGACCAAATTCATTTGTTGTACACCCAAGCTCTTCAACAGGTCAAGGGGTTTTAAATTACTTTAAAAATGACCTATTGATATAATAGTGTTTTGAGTACCAGAACTATGCTTGGTGGCCTTGCTGTCATTTTCCATAGCATGCATGATTAATCACAATAACATTGTCATATATAGGTTACAGTTGGCAAAGCACACATCAATCTTGGCTATTAACGGTGCCCAGTTACTGTCCGTCAGACACATAGGTGGATGTGCCAGTCATCCGCAGGCGCCGGTAGGACGCCACCTGGTCTCTCAGCAGCTCGATCTCCTGTTGCAATTCTTGGTAGTTGGCCAGTTGCTGCAGGTTATTCCTAGCCTGCGTCAGTTCCAGGACTTGATTGCACAGACTGAGTATCTCCTGTTCATTTCGCCGCATGTGTTCCCTCTGCAGCCATTTGTTTTCTGCCTTCCTAATTGTGTAGGTGCCAGCCCAGATTCTGCAGAGTCTTCTCCGTAATTCAAGGGGGTAACTGCGCACCAGCCGGTGGTAGGGGCCCGGGGGCACTGGATGAAGTCGGTTACGCAGGTCAGTCATCACTTCCAAATGCCGCTGTTTATTCAGTGCTCCATCAGGCAGGCACCGGAGCAAGTTCTCCACCAGTTCTGGACACACTTCGTACTCTCGTTCCAGGAGAACTCGTGTTTCATGTGATAGGGCCTTCACCTTCAGGTGGCCCTCACTCTCGGGCCCTGGGTCAGTCTCTGGGAGAGGTGCCCTGGGTGGTGGGGTGGTTGGTGAATAGGATGACAATGGTCCAACATCGTCCTCTGACGATGACGATGGGTCGGGGGAGCGCAGTGGCAACAGCTTACTGCGGGCACTGTCCTTAGGGTTTGTCTTCTGAGGCGGTGCCTGTGCTGTGGTAGTTGTCCAAACCTCTGATGCGGCCTGCACCAGGTACTGGGATTACTTCAGGCCTGAATTCACCTCCCCTAGGTTCCTTTCCCGACTGGGACCTGCTTGGACCCTGCCACCCAGGTTAGTGTTACTGGTGATTGGGTTGGGTGTTTCTTGGCAGGCCCCGCCTTGGCTGGGGGCTTCAACTGGGTCCGGGATCTCTTGCAGTATATAGCGGAACAGGGGGTCGTGGATCTGGGTCGGTGGCTGAATCGATGGCAGGGGCTGGGTGTAGAGCATTGATAACGTCATCGGGGCGGGGTGTCCACGGCCTTCCATCGCGGCGCCTCCGCTGGAGGCATAGGCTGATGAGGGTTGGCTGGCCATCGGGCGGGTCGACTCTGGGTATGGTGGAGGCGGCTGGTACGGCATGCTTGGCCACTCCTGCTGGTACTGGTACCAAAGCTGGCCCCCTGGGTTCTGCTGGTATGGATGTGGGGTTCTCCAGTTCTCAGCCATACTCTGCACCTATCTTGAGGTTGTACAGGACATTCTTTGCAAGCCATGCAAGCGGGTTAATTATTAGTACTGGTCTGGTGACAGCAAGGGTATCAGGGGCTGGTGGCTCGTGACATCCTCCATTCTACACAATCTCCTCATACTCTCCTTCTGCTTGCCTATATTTCTGCTCATATAGGACAGTTTCTACTGCCATGCCTCGTGGCATTATCTCATATTGATTTCTGACATATCGCCCTATGATTTGGTCTCGATTCTCAGGAACCTTTCCCTGAGAGCCACTCATGTCTTCATATGGCTCTGCACCTTCAACGGGCCGTGTGCCCTGGTCTAATATGACAAACTGTCCCATGTGGCCTTCCAGGGCCTTTCTAATCACAAGGCGCACTAGGGGAAGAGTACAACACACTACTATAAGAAGGATCATCACAACAAGCCCTAACAGGATCCCTATCGCTTTCAAAATCTTCCAAGGGGATAATTTTCCTAGCCAGTCCAGAAACGAGGAAATCTTAGTGTTCCAATTTGAGTGCTGTACATGTTCATCTCTTAACCTACGTATGTTCTCTAAAGCCCGGGTTAGATTGCTATCCTCCCCTGTGTGCATGGGAATAACAGTACAACAGTTTTCTCCTATCACATCGCAAACTCCTTGGTCTTGGGCTAGCATGGTGTCTATAACGAGTCTGTTTTGCACCGTCATCAGGGATGTAGCATGCAGTTGCTCACTTACTCCTTCAAAAGCCTGTATAGTCCAGTTCACAAATCTTTGCTGATTTTACCACAAATAATTTACCCAGCGACTGTTACGGGCTATTAAGTGGGCATTTGCTATGTTTCCTCCAAACGGTATAGACCCTAGTCCTGTACCTGCGTCTATCCAAATCTCTGATATGGCATTATGGTCGTCGGGTACCCCTACAGGCACCTGATCCCATGTAATATATATGTTGGCATCCTTCTCCCAGGAGCGTGTCTGACTGAGTCTTGGCCGATCTCCGAGCTCTTCCTGAGGTACCATTAGTTGTGCTTATTATCGTGATCAGTCCTGTTACCATTACTGGGGCACAGATCCCAGTCCAGTTGGCCGGTAGTACAGCTATAACCTGGCGATCTCTTTCACACACCCAAAATATATCTGCCAGTAACTCTGTGCCGTTACTAAGGTCACCTATCCATACCCAAGCGGCACTTGTATAATTGCGTGACACAATAGATGAATTTCTTGACGCACCGCTGACCACCTGTTCGCACTGAATTTTGGCTTCTTCAGTGGTATTACGTATCTTTTCCTGCCTCCGAGATGTAGGAACTCCCATGTTTGTGATATTTTCATATCTGCACTGGATCAGCTCCTCTGCCTCTTGGGAGGTGTTGCTAGAGGTGGAGTTGTCTAACCAGTATTCTATATTATCTCCTCGTGCTACGCAGAATGGGAATACAGTATCTCGTGCCAAGTGCGCTACTGGGGGTACTTGATATTCCTTCTTAATTGGTTCAGGGGCATCTAGGTCTAGGGGATAATTGGTCGTTTTTGACTACTTTTCATTTTACCTTTAAATTTCACCTTAAAAAACTGTTTACCTTGCCTTGTTTGGTATCATTCTTTTCAGCACAACCTCACCTGTATGACTTTACGATTATTTTTGCATTTTGACATACTGTATTAACACACTGGACTAAAATTACACATAAAACATAAAATCCGAGTAGGAAAAAGTTTGATTTTTGACTGTGAAAACCACAAACATGTCTAACGAACCATTTTTGTAACTTAGAATGGAAATATAAATTGTGAACTCAAAAACTTATGAACATATTTAGCAAACAACAAAGTTATATATAACTATTTACATGAAAATGCAGGCAATGCCTCAGGCGTTTTTTGAACAACTATTTACAAAACAATCAGATGCCACACAACTTATTTGTGCCACTCTGAAAAGCAGTTCCTGTCCACCACAACACAGAGGGGCACATCACAGGCCTGACACTTCCAGGGTGTGTCACTCCTCCTGTTGTCCACCTGGAGGCAATGTTTGCACCTCTGTCTGCCTTTTGTGGCTTTTTGGCTTGCATCTGTGGCTGTGACAATGGGCACAGGAACATGATCAGCTCTCCTGCTCTGAGGAACACCTTCCTTGTCCATGCCACAAAGCTGACTCACCAGCTCCACCATGAAATCTTTATGTGTCATGGGCTGCACCTGCTTGGCATTGCTCATCTCACGGTGCAAGATGAAGGCATTTGTTGTTGCAATGTCCAAGAAGTGCAGCAACATGGTCCTGTACCAGTGACCAGTTTTTCTGTGGGTGGAGTAATACTGTATGAGCTGATCTGACAGATCAACCCCACCCATACTCTGGTTATAGGCCACGATTGGTGTGGGACAGGGAAAGTCTCGCACAGCCCAGCGTCCATCTCTGTCCTTCACCCTTCTCCGCACTGTGTCACCTGAAAATGCAGGATGGATGGTGGAGCACACAGACACCTCCCGTGTGTCCATCCACTTCACAAACACAAGTGGGCCCTCTCTGATCCATCTCACTGATCCTCTTTCACATCTTTTGGTGAGAGCATTTTCCCTCCCTCTGGGGCATCCTTTTCTGCTCTCCCTGTAGGTGCCACACGCTCCAAATTTCATGCTGGCCAGGTCCATGAATAGTTTGGGACTGGTGTAAAAATTGTCCATGTAGACGTGATATCCAGTGCCAAGACAGGATGGCTGAATAAGCTTCATGACCACATCATAAGACAGCCCATGTTCACTCACAGTTACTGCCTTGCCAGTGTATATGCTGAAATTGATGGTGTAGCCACTGCTTGACTCGGCCAATACAAAAAGTTTAATCCCCCATTTAGTTGGCTTGTCCTTCATATATTGTGTCATGCCAGTTTTTGCCTTAGTCGCCACCATCCTTTCATCCACTGCCAGCTCCCTCCTCGGGTGGTAATAAGCCTGGCAGGCACTGAGGATATCATCATAAAGAGGCCTGACTCTAAACAATTTGTCATGGCCTGGTGTTCCCTTCTGTCTGTCATTATGAACATCCTCCTCAGGATCACTGAGGTGGATGTTCCAAAATATGGATCTGAACCTGTCTCGTGTCATCACTTTGGCTGGAAGGTGTACAGACAAAACGTGATTTTGTCTCCAGTAGTCTTGGAGACTTGGCAGCGACACCAAAGACATGTACATAAGAAGACCAAAAAACTTGTACAGATCATCTGTCTCTATGTCAGTCCATTTGTACTTTTTCCCTAACTCCTTGTTTTTTGCAGCATTTTTGTTTGTGTTGCTGCAGATTTGCTTGACTGTGTCAGTGGCAAAAAACAACAGAAACAGGTCTTTTGGACTGTGTGGAGAAAGTGTCTCTACCTGGACTCCTGGTGTTCTCCGTGGCTGGAACCTGCTTACTGCTGGGGCAGTGTCAGCATCCTCCTCTGTCTTCCAGGGCTCAGAGTGGAGGCGTGGCTCTGGCTCTGCCGCCTGTGTCAGTGGAGACCGTGACCGTGTGGGCGCGCTACGCCGTCCCCTCCTCTGTGCGGACCTCCGGGTGCCACTCGGTGCGCTCGTCGGAGGCTCCTTTTCCTCTCTCTCCTCTTCCAACACAAACGATGGATCATCCCCTTCATCATCAAAGTCCTCACTCTCTGGCTCCGACTCCGGATCCGCGTTTCCCTCCGCTACATCCCGCTCAAAGAGGAGATGCAGTGCCTGCTCCACATTCAGGAGTCGCCTCATTGTTTTGACACGCAAAACAAAAAAACGACTGCACGACACACTAAACACACTGCACTATACACCAAACACACTACACTACACACTAACCATATGCTCCAAAAACACTAAATATCACCAAATCTCGAACTATTTCTCCACTCACTATCGCTATCGCTGTTTCTCTCTTGCTGCCGTAACTCCCACAAACCTTCCCCTCTTTCGTAGCAACAAATGCTGCTGTTGCCATACTATTTTTTGATTGGTTGATGTGGCGCATTTTTCCACCAATAGAAAAGGGGGTGTGGTGAGTTTTTTTTTTCCTGCTGTTGTTGCTTTCAGCACTTCTGTCAGGCCGAAAAGCCTGTTTTTACCATTACTTCCTGCACCAAACGTGACAAAAATATTCAGGAAAATCATGGTGTTTATGATTTATCATAAGTCTGGTTTTATATGGCCTATCAACACAATTTAAGAAGTGGTACAAAGTTTGAAGTTCGCACTTTCCACACAAATTGAAATGGAGACTCAGTGAGGCTGTGTTTTGCTGCTACGTCGTCTTAAATCGATCACGTGATTTTGACACGCCGGCGCGGTTCTGGACCGTAGAGGGTTAAGGCTTTTTGGACAGATTGCAGTGTTATTGGTGTGTTTCCCTCTCCTTCCTGCCATCCATATGGTGCACTGAGCAAAACAGAAAAATGTTCGTGCACACTCCTCTATATCTGGGAGAGGCCGAACCCTTGGTAGGCCCCTCTTCCTGTGACATGCCATACACAAGCTATTAGTTACCTGTTTAGCGGAGTATTCTATCCATTGACAGAACATATTAGACTTCCACGTGGTCGTTCTTATTACCTCTGCTCTTTGTACCTGCACATGTCTTGATTTTCTCTGGGATGTCAGATCTAATTGGAGCCACTGGTGGGCTACCTTTATGGGTATGCTGTGTCCCGTATCTATATTGGTGCAGCCACTTGTGTCACACATAACTCTTGCTGTCACCCTACCTTCTGCACTACAGCATGGTCCTATGGACCGTGTGGAAGCAAAAAAAGTCAAGGTCCTGAGCCGTGCCAGAAAGCTCGCGACCTCGCTCTTCTCTTCTCAAACGGATTTTCTTTGTCTTCCATTAGATATCAAAAACTCAAATACTCAGAGGTCAAAAAAATCACTGGAGACACGTAGAATCAGATGCAACTGAGTTTAATGTGCTCGCAGGCAACAAACACATCACAACTCAATGAGTCAAGCTCCGGAGCAAGACTGAAATTTCTTTGTTTGCGCTCGCTCTTTTATCGTAGAATTTCTGCTGAGTCATCTCTTTTCCTTAAACTTTTCCACTGGGCGCTGATCATAAAGGTGTCACATTTCTGCTGAGTTTTAGTCCTTCCCACCATATCGGTATCACATTTCTGCTGACTCAGCACTTTTTTAGTCCTTCCCCCTCTAGGGTCATTATCAGGACAAACTGCAATTCCCCTAACTTTCCACTAGTGTTTTCTGAACCCATCCTCATGCTATTTTTAGAAATGATTCACAGTGAGTCCTAGGTACTTCTCCACCACAATGCTTAAGTGCTCAATGAGCGTGTGTGTGTCATAAGAATACATGAAATATTAAACCAGTGTGTAATTTGTCAGTCAATTAAAGGTACAGTACGAACACTATAGTAAATATTACACTACAACCGGCCATGCAACCTAATGCTTCCTGGGCCCTCCACCAGTATGTCGTCGTAAGCATGCGATTTATAGTAGGTTAACTGTATTATCTTTCTGTGAGGTATCCTGCCCTGCTTTGCAGCCATGGTTCCTAGTGCCACTAAGCATTCGTCTAACTGTTTCTGACCTTGTCTACCTTGCTCTGCTCCTTCACTTTGTTTCACTCCTGCCAGGATGAGCAATAGGGTTAGTAGTACTGCCGCTATTATTCCCACTTTAATTCCTCCCCCCGTACTGTCTGGGCCCTCAAGTCTTCCCTGTCCTGGTCTACCGAGGGGCTGGTCCCTCTCCGGCGCTTGTGTCTCCTGTGTCTGTGTCTGACCTTTCTGTGTCCCTAGCTTTGCCTGTTTCTGAGCTGTGGCTTTCTTCTCCTTCTTCTCTTTCTGCCTCTGCTTCTTCTGCTCTCTCTGTTCTTTCTGTTCTCTCTGCCCTTGGGCCCTCATCAAAGTCCCTGCAGCCATCAGGTGACGACTCATGAGATTCATCACCAGCCACTGTGGATGGGGTGCTTCCCTCCGAGGTGCTCTCTGCTGATACCCTCTCTGGTAGCGACCCGCTGCTCTCACTCTGGGTTGATACCCTCTCTGGTAGCGACCCGCTGCTCTCACTCTGGGTTGATACCCTCTCTGGTAGCGACCCACTGCTGTCACTCCGGACTCTGCCCTGTTCTCACCTAAGGGCCAAGCGTACAGACCTCCTGGTCCCCTGTTCCTGCGGGGAGGTATCGCCTTCCCCCTCTGGATGACCCTCTGCTTCCCTTGGGGCGGCCTTGCCTTCCCCTTGTGGATCTGGGGGAGCTGCTCTTTGTCTGGCTCTAGGCCGAGGAATAGGCCTCTCTGGGTTGTTAGCTCTGCAGCAGTGGTTAAGATGGAACCAAACGTCCTTACCTTCAACTTTCAAGGCAGTTGGTGTGGCTAATATGACCTTGTATGGACCTTCTCTGCGTGGCTGGTCCCACTTCCTTTTGAACACCTTGACGTACACCCACTCTCCAGGAAGTATTCTTTGAAGGTCCTCTGGGATTTTGACCCTTCTGTCCTCGGTGGTGGCTTTCATCTGCTGGAACACAGCCCTGTGGATACGAGTCAGACTTTGTAAATAGTCAAACATTTCACCTTGCAACTGTTCCAGCGAGGGCCCTTCGTAGGGACCTCTCAAGTATGGTATTGGCATGGGTCGACCCGTAAGCATTTCATGCGGTGTTAGATGCGTGATTCTGCTGGCTTGTGAGCGCATAGACATTAATGCAAGTGGTAAAGCATCCACCCAATTGAGCTTATCTCCACTATCTGCCACTATCTTGGCTATTTTGGTTTTCAACATACCATTTGCTCTTTCCACTGCTCCCTATGATTGGGGATGGTAAACACAGCCAAACTTTTGTTTGATGCCCAACTGCTTTAGTGTCTCCTGTATGACATTGGACACAAAATGGCTACCATTATCTGATGATATGGTATCTGGCATCCCAAATCTTGGAAACACTTCTTGACACAGAAATTTTGCAACTGTTTGGTGGTCTGATTTTGCGGTGGCTTTTGCCTCCACCCATCTGTGTATCTACATATGACCACCAAGATGTATCTCATTCCTCTTGCTCTTGACTGTGGTCCCATGTCTATATAGTCTAACATGAGGTGTCTGAAAGGACCGTCTGGGGGTGGTATGTGCACCAGTGGGGCTGTAAAAACTTTCCTGATGTTGTATCTTGCGCAGGTTTCGCATTCGCTTAGTACTCTATCTACTGTTGCTGCCATGAATGGTGACCACCACACTGCTTGCAATTTCCGTAGGATCTCCCCCCTTGCACAATGGTCACTACCATGCGCCCAAATTATTGCATGTCTTAATAGTAAGGTAGGTAATACAAAATGGCCATGACTATCGCGCCAGAGACCATTTGTTGGACCTTGTTGCACTGTTCTGATGGCCCCTCTTTTCACCCATAGGCGTTTTTCGGCCTCACTTACTCTGTTTTGAGTGGTTATAAGAGAGGACATGGTAGTTAGGGGTTCACAGTCTTGTATGGTTAGTATGGGTGCCATTACCGCACCTACTGCTGCCTTTTTGGCTGCTTCATCAGCAAGGTTATTCCCTTTGGCTATCAGTGAATCAGTCTTTTGGTGGGCTGGACATTTAATGACTGCTAAAGCCGTGGGAAGAAGCATGGCTTCTAATAGGCTTCTAATAGGTCAAGGATGGCCATGCCTCCATGCTTTACAGGAGTGCCGTCAGCTCTGCGAAACCCTCTTTGTTTCCATATGTTAGCATGAACATGGCAAACGCCATAGGCATATGCTGAGTCTGTGTATACATTTAGCGATTTCCCTTCCGCTAATTTACATGCTGCTGTTAAAGCTTTTATTTCCGCGAGCTGGGTTGAGCAAGGCTGAGCAAGTTTACATGATTTCAGTGTCACAAAAGTTTGGTCATCGTTTTCGAGTTGGACAATGCCGTAGCTGGCGTAGCTGGCGTGGCTACCAGTGACGTCACGGAAACATGACCCATCAACAAACAGTGTGAGATCAGCCAGAATTGGTTGGTTATGTAAATCTTCCCTGGCATGCATAAATTTCTCTGTGTCATGAATATAGTCATGTGGCGTACCTTCTGTTGGTAAGACCAGTTTTGTGGCTGGGTTTATAATAGTACAGCGCTGAATGTTAAGTTCAGGGGCTGATAGAATTACCTCATAGCCCGTGTGTCTGGCTTGTGTCAAAACAAATCGTGGACTTGTCAATAGTGTATGAAGCTGGTGGGAAGTATACAACGTGACAGGATGTCCCATGGTCAGTGATGATGCTTTCTGAAAGGCAAAGACAGCTGCGGCTAGCCCCTGATAGCAAGGTGGCAAACCAGCCTCTATGTTATCCAGCTTGGTGCTATAATATGCTAAAGGTTGCTTCCCTGTAGGTGTGTCTTGCATAAGCACAGCACAGGCAAAGCCTGACCTTTCAGCCACATATAGATGAAAGGGTTTGGTATAGTTAGGAGTCCCCAACGCTGGAGCGGATTGCATGTCTATTTTTAGAGCTTGGAACGCTCCTTCTGCTTCCTCTGTCCATACCATCTGTGCTGTATTATTGGTTTGTCCTGCTGCCCTTATCAGAGCCCTGAGCGGGGTGGTTTTTATGGCATAGTCACAAATCCACGGCCGGCTGTAGCCTGTCATGCCCAAAAAAGATAGCATCTGGCCCACCGTTTGCGGTTGAGGGGCCTTGATCACTGCTTCTAACTGAGATGGTGCAATGCATCTTCTCCCCAAGTATTCTACCGACTGTTGGCAGAACTGCAGTTTGT